TTTTTTGGCCATACCACGTGGCAGGCATGCAGGATCTCAGTTCTCCAACCAGGGATCAAACCTGTGCCCCCTGCATTGGAAGGCAGAGTCTTAACCACTGGACTGCCGGGGAAGTCCCAGTTGTCTATATTATATATAGTAGTGTGTGTATGTTCAGCTCAAGCTCCTGATTTATTCCTCCTAAACTAAATAAACGCTTACAATTTTTAATATTTAGTTTACTTTTTTTTCACAATAAATGTGAATGGGTCAAACTCATTTATTATGAGACAGAGACTATTAAAATCTGACAAAAGCAAATACTTCAGTTTTAAAAAAATTTTGTACAATTTTAAAAAGTTACTTTCCATTTACAGTTATTACAAAATATTGCCTATATTCCTCATGTTGTATAATACAACCCTGAGCCTATCTTATACCCAATAGTTTGTACCTCCGACTAGTTTATCTTTTAACAGAACAAAATACAAGGAAAAACTGCCTTTCCTTTGGGTAAAAGAGAAACCTGAAAAATGTGGTGTTGTGGAAGCCAATATCTTAAGAAAGGCTTTTGAACAGGGTCAAATATTCCTGAGACAGACACACACACAGTTATTATGAGGACTACAAGGCTAAGAGGAAAAAGCACTCGAAATCTATTTGACTCCACACAACACTAACAATTTTATACAAACATACTATCACTATTAGAAAAATTCCTAACAAAGGTAAAAGCAGCTTGATGAAAGAGAACTTAGAGAGGGCTGAAGCTGCTGACTTTATATAGAGGATAAAATGCGAAAGTCAAACTACCAAGAGCTGGAACCTGGAGGGAATAGGCATTACATACTTTGCTATTGGATGCTTTTACTCAGTGATGCAAAACATTATGTTAGGAAAAAACTGTATATGAAGCAACAATGATTTATATTTTAGTCTGACACCACTCCTTATCTGTTATTTACATATGAGCTTATCTTCCTTTATTTAATTTTTTTGTGGCTTTTATTCCAAGCTTTTTTTTTTTTTTTTTTTTTGGGGGGGGGGGAGCCTCTCACTGTTGTGGCCTCTCCCGTTGCGGAGCACAGGCTCCAGATGCACAGGCTCAGCAGCCATGGCTCACAGGCCCAGCTGCTCCGCAGCATGCGGGATCTTCCCGAACTGGGGCACAAACCCGTGTCCCCTGCATCGGCAGACGGACTCTCAACCACTGTGCCAACAGGAAAGCCCTATTTCCAACCTTTTTAATAGACTTTATTTTATTTTATTTTATTTTGGCCACACCACGCGGCATGTGGGATGTTAGTTCTCCAACCAGGGATCAAACCTACACCCTCTGCAGTTTAAGTGTGGAGTCTTAACCACTGGACTGCCAGGGAAGTCCTTAGACTTTATTTTTTAGAACCGCTTTAGAGTTACAGAAAAATTGAGAGGATAATACAGAATTTGCATATGCCCCACATCAAATTTCCCCTACTATTATCCTTAGTCTGATACATTTATTAATATTAATAGACCAATATCAGTACATTATTATTAAATAAAGTCACAGTTTATTTAGATATCCTTAGTTTTTAACCTATGTCTTTTCTTTCTGTTGCAGGATCCCATGAAGGATATCACGTTACACAGAGTTGTCATGTTTCCTTTGGCTTCTCTTGGCCATGGCAACTTCTCATACTTTTCTTCTTTTTAACGACCTTGACAGTTTTGAGGAGTCCTGTGGAGGTATTTTGTCGGATGCTGCATTATTGGAATTTGTCTTTGTTTTTCTCATAATGAGACAAGGGTTACAGGTTATTGAAAGGAAGCCAACAGAAGTAAAGTGTCATTTTCATCATATCATATCAAAGGTGCATACCACTGGGACTTCCCTGGTGGTCCAGTGGTTAAGAATCTGCCTTCCAGGGCAGGGGATGCAGGTTCAATCCCTGGTCAGGGAACTAAGATCCCACATGCTGCCGAACAACTAAGCCCGTGCGCCACAACTACTGAGCCTGTGCTCTAGAGCTCCCGAGCCACAACTACTGAAGCCCGCGTGCCACAACTACTGAAGGCCGCATGCCACAAGTACTGAAGCCCATGTGCCTAGAGCCTGTGCTCCACAGCAAGAGAAGCCACCACAATGAGAAGCCCGCGCACTGCAACAAAGAGTAGCCCCTGCTTGCCACAACTAGAGAAAGCCTGTGTGCAGCAACGAAGACCCAACTCAGCCAAAATAAATAAATACATAAAAAAAATTTTTAAATATATAAAATTTAAAAAAGCGTACATACCATCAAGATTGATCACTGTTGATGCTCGCCTTGATCACCTGGCTGAGGTAGCGTTTGTTAAGTTTCTCACTAAAAAGTTACTCCCTTTTTCCTGCTTCCCATACTATACACTTTGAAATGAAGTCACTATGTGCAGCCCAAACATAAGGAGTATGGACTTAAGTTTCATCCTCCTTGATGGAGAAGAATCTACATAAATTATTTGGAAATCCTCTGCGTGGGAGGTTTGTCTCTCCTCCATTTATGAATTTACTCAATCATTAATTTATATCTTTATAGACTCAATGGATATTTATTTTATACTTTGATATTTATTTTACTTTTTAATTTTTTTAAACCACTTTTTTTAATTTTTAAAATTATTTATTTGTGTATGTATTTATTTATTTATTTGGCCTTGCCACATGGCATGCAGGACTTTAGTTCTCCAGCCAGGGATTGAACCCGCACCTTCAGCAATGAAAGCACAGAGTCCTAACCACTGAACCACCAAGGAATTCCCTTTGATATTTATTTTGCAAAATCCAATACTACTTACTTATTGGTGCTCAGATTGTTCCACCTCTTTCAGTTGGGTCCTGTACTCCTTTTACATACCTCTAGTGATGTGTGTGTTATGGATTTTTTTTTTTAACACTTCCTTACTTTCTGGCCCTACAAAGTGCTCTGAATTTATCCTGTACATTCCCTGCCCCAGTCCTAGAATCAGCCATTTCCCAGAGGAGCTCTGGCTCCTTTTACTGGAAAAGGGCACTATAAACAAAGATCCAGGCGCAAGCCATGATCATTTGTACTGGGGGAGGGGGGTAATGTTTTTTAGGCCCTCTCATCTGTCAGAGCAAACAAAATATGTGTTTATACTAATATATGTATATATCCTCGCAGGACATTTGGTCCTTTCCAAAACATCCATTGAGACATTTGGTCCATGATTTGTTAAATAATACAAATATTTAACTTTGTTAAAATTTTACTTACATGATTTTTATTATAATTCATGATGCATTTTGGATTTCACATTTATTCTTGTTCCTCCTTGTCATTAAATTTGGTATGATTTTACTCTTAAGTGGAAGAGCAATTGCTCTCATGTATATATTGACCTGTTTATTGGCTTTATATTCATTATACCTGTTAACAATTTTAGTTACACAAATTTGATTTTGTCAGTATTATTGTGAAGTTGGTAGCAGTATTGGAGTGTGACCACCAATAACCTGGGTGATAACTGTTCATTGCTTTGCTGTTCATCTTTTAACATGTCAATAAATCTCCAAGTTGAAGTATGATGTATTACCATCAGCTCCCGAAATTTGCTATGCCAACCTTCCACCATGTTGTTTGTCCTGTGATCACTATTAAGTACTGATGTATAAACATTCCGCGTTTCTGGTGGAAATCTTGGAGCTTCTGGTCTTCTGCCTCTGCCCACCTTCCACAGACAAACACTCTCTCAACATAATCTATTAGGTCATTTAAATTTTCTTCCGCAGGTTCCACAATGTACTCAAAAGTTTAATTTATAGCTTCCAAAGGCACAGATTGAAGTCCCAACAACATAGTGTATATTTATGGGTGTTACTTTCCATTGTCATATATCAATACTTGAGTGTCAGACCCAAAGAAGATATTTCTTTTGGCCACAGTGATTGTGAAAGTGAAACAAGCATCCTTTTTTTTTCTTTTTAAATTTTATTTATTTATTTATTTTTGGCTGCGTTGGTCTTCATTGCCGGGAGTGGGCTTTCTCTAGTTGCGGCGAGCGGGGGCTACTCTTCCTTGCGGTGCATGGGCTTCTCATTGCAGTGGCTTCTCTTGTTGCAGAGCACAGGCTCTAGGTGCACAGGCTTCAGTAGTTGCAGCACGCGCGGGCTAGGTAGTTGTGGCTCGCGGGCTCTAGAGCGCAGGCTCAGTAGTTGTGGCACACGGGCTTAGTTGCTCCATGGCATGTGGGATCCTCCCAGACCAGGGCTTGAACCTGTGTCTCCTGCATTGGCAGGCGGATTCTTAACCACTGCACCATCAGGGAAGCCCCAACAAACATCTTTTTACTTGTTCATTTGTTAAAAGTAATTGAATCTCGAATTCATATTTGCAATCTCGAAATCCATCATGCACAACGAAGGGTTGATGTCAAGATTTCTTTTTCATGCAAATGCTAGTACTTTCTCACTTATATCTGTAAGTATCTTCCTACCTTTTCTTTTTGTTTTTTTTTCACTCTCCCTCTTTTCATCTTTTCATTGTTAGTGCATGAATCGATGGCATAGGATAACCCGATACTACAATATGCACAGTGAATTACTGAGTGAAATGTTTTGGTGTCATCTTGAAGGTGCCGTCACCGAACAATGTGGTATTAGCACTGGAATATCAAATACTGTCACACATTGTGTAAATAAGAGTACTGTCATCATTTTGACAGACTCTCCTTCCCAGCACCAGTTCATTTTACTCCTATCTCTGTTAAAGGAAGGGAAATGGTAAAAAAACTATTATAATGTAGCATTGGCTTTTCTTTTTTGTGAGTATACTAGCTCTGCCATATTCAGCTGAGAATTTTCAAATAAAGATGTCATACTGCCAAGCAACAGAAGGGTTACTTTTTTCTTTTGTAGCTATCTGACTAATGGTTGCTGGTTTACTGGTAGGGAAAACCTTACTAATGTCTCATGGACATGAGTTTGGCTGGGCTGGATCAGCAAACAAGTAGGTTCCAGACAAGAGCATGGTAGTCCATGCCTAATGGAAGGTAAGTATAGGAACCACACCCACTAAAACCTTTACAAATAGTGGCAGACAGTTCTTGCACTCTACTGCCATCATACCTCCATAGGACATCCACTCAAGGGAAACACTGCCCATTAACCCTGAGCAAGGAGATAATTGTAGGGGGGTTAATTAGATGCCCAGGATTCCTCTCATGGTAGCTATCACACCTTACTTCTTTGTGGTAGGAGAGCCACACCCATTCTTACTCCTCCAGAACTAATGAGATGCATGTAAAATGTCTACATCAATGCCTTTGCCGCTACTTTACATAGTGGCTGGACCAAACTGCTCCTTTCAAATTCTGCCTTTATTGAATGACCCAGACACATCCAACCAAATGCCCAGTGACATATTAATGCACCACACACTGAGAGATCCCATCCTCAACTTGTCATTCTCTGTGCATTTCTCTATCTGTAAGACTCTTCCTTGGCATTCAGAGCTAATAAAATATAACTTCCACTCCTCTGCAAGATTTGAAACCCCATTCTTCTAACTAACCCCATGTGCCAGCTGGGCTACCAAGGCAAAAAGGGTAATTATGGGCAATACAGTTACACAAAATTATTGAACTAATAAAACATGATAGTATATATATATATATATTTTAATCCTGTAAACCAAAAGTATAAATAAAACTTACGGGCTATTTGAACCCAGGTACATGTTTGAAGCATGGATGCTTTTCACAGGACCAAATGTCAAGGACCATTTGGCATGGACCACGTGTCTCAATGGACGTTTTGCACAGGACCAAATATCTGCTAATCATATATACACATAAATTTTGAAATTAGGTTATTTTATGTCTTTTCAGTCTTTAGGGGTTGAGGATCAGAGGAAAAACAATGCATGGTCCCTGGATTTCCTTTCTAAAAATCAGACACCAAGGCAGAATGTCATTTGAACAATTTGTACAGGGGCATATGGCACTGCTCTGATCTCTGGCCGGGTTTTTGGAGTCCTCATTGGTTAATAGCCCCAATTATTATGCAACGCAATACCTCCTAGCTCTGTTTTCACTTCCCTTTTCCAAACGATCTTCTATTTCAAATTCCTAATATGTTATTTCAATTTATTGACAGTAGGTGAATTCCCTGGCAGTCCAGTGGTTAGGAGGCAGCATTTTCACTGCTGTGGGCCTGGGTTCGATCCCTGGTCAGGGAAATAGGGAAATAAGATCCCATAAGCCTCGTGGCGTGGCCAAAAACAAAACAAAACAAAAACAAAACTCTGTGCAATTTATTGACACTAGAATTCTACAACAGTTGCATTCCATGAGACCTAGTGCTTCTTTCTGGGGCCAGTAAATAAAATGGAATAAAAGCTAATTGAAATCAGAAAGGCATTCAAACTATATTGCTGGCTTATAAAATAGGGATAATGATGGAGGAAAGACAGAGAGCTGCAGAGAAAAAGACAACTGGCTCATGGAAACTGTGTTATGGAGGAGTTAAAAAGCACCGGTGTTTAATCTACCCACCCTGTTCTCCTTCTGGTGGAGGGGATGGTTGGTGGGTACCAGCCCTGAGGCCCTCTGTCAGCATTTGCAAGGAGCATAAGAGGCTGGTGGAAGAAGACAAAGTAAATAAGAACTATTAGGGGCTTCCCTGGTGGCGCAGTGGTTGAGAGTCTGCCTGCCGATGCAGGGGACACGGGTTCGTGCCCTGG